AAAAGATACAAGAGGCAATCACCACATGTTGAAACGGTCAGATTGCTGGGTTCATCGCCATCAAGCCTATAAGGAACATTCACTTTAACAATTCCCTTTACCCTCAATTTATACAAACAGCAGAGTAGTTTAAATTACTGTTAACACACCACTCTTGTAAAAAGGTTCCACATTTAAGCAATACTAAACTGAAGGAATGTTACATTTCACTTTGAGAAGCTATCCACAATAAGAATTTGATTTAACATTTCACAATGGTCCAAACAATTTACTTACCATCCGATTTGTTGTGTAGAGGTTTGTAGTGCGAGCCCATAACATTTTGGGTTGTCTGTCACTGGGTGGTGAGCCCTGCATTCAACAAATAAATCGTGCAATATATGAAGTGTTTAACTTCCCCATCAACAGTGGGGAAAAAAATGAACTACATAATGTGTATGTATTTATGCAAAGTACGATTAGTCCTACTGTTCACTTGCTGTATTTTGGCAATATGCACATGAGTAATAAAGTACTAGTACAGTCTCGATACAGGAATATTTTAGCAGCTCTGTAGGTTTTGATCACACCATAAGGTCTATATTCAAAATTTAGTATGAAGCCAGCAGTGGATGAGAAAGCCTGTGATGGTAATTAAAAGCTCTATAAAAAAATAAAAAAAAGTAGTGAATCCACCTGATTAGCATCACCTACCTTTATTCATGAACAAAGGCGTCCTTCATACAACAACCACTCCATACACTGCATCCTATGCCTGCCCAGAGCATCTCTGAAGATGAGAATGATTTGTACAAATCTATGTATGACATTACACTGTTTCTATTGTTTTGGTGAACTTACCCATCCACAGCTTAATAGAGAAGGGGTTTAGTGTCAATTAGCGCTTGAAAGGGGAAAAAGTACAGCATGCGTTTCCCCATTGTTGGTCATCTGGAGCATCTTGTTTGTGTAGCCAACAGGATCCTCTGGCCACTGCCACCTTGAGTAGAACAGGAGGTAGTACAGGAGTAGAATAAGACAAGTATATCACAAATGGGTTTAAAAAAAAAAAAAGGCTTCATTTGAAGAGCACATCTGCCTGTGTTTAGCATTTTCTACACAATATCTAACCTTTACAGGCACTGAGCAGTGAATTAACTTTGCATGTGTGGTCTCCCTCGGTTGTTAACCTCAAAACTTCGACATGAAATGCTTTATACAAGTCACCCTCCACTTAGTCTTCATTTCTGGACACTCAGACCTTTAGTAATCTAGATTTAGACATGAAATTCTTGCAATTGTTAACAGGACACTATTCTTTAACATGGTTACCTTCTGATAGTTTATTAAATCCTGGTATTCCTTCCACCGTCAATAACACCTGCTCATATTTTGAATATGAGGTCAATTTAACAAAACAGGCTTTGAGACGTTCACTAATTAAGACTGACAGCAGATGGATTGTCCGGACTTCAACCCAAATGGAGGCTCCATCTTACACAGCCATAGGAAAAAAAAAACCCTCAATACTCCGGTACCTACCTAAAAAGGTTTCTCCACTACAACACGGAAATCCGCGTCAAAGACCAGTGTCCTCTAAACATTAGTGAACTTGTTGGGTGTTTAAAACAAGAAGGTGCTAATGTTAATCTAGTCCAGATATACTCGATATGTAACGACACCGTTCCCATAACGCTGGCAGTCAAACTACAGAGCCAACAGGTGACTAGTTACTGTCATGAGAACTTTCCTAGAATCAAGTCTTAATTAACTTCGTTGTTAAAATGGAACATGCTAAAGCAAAACAATAGGCTACCGGAAGGCTAAACACACATGGAACTAATTAGAGGACACACCTGGTTTTTATGTAAAAATTATCATGTTAAAAACACCAATAAATGAAATGACTATTGGTGCCATATACAAACCCCAATTCCAATGAGACATTGTGAAAAACGTTAAATTAGAACAGAATACATCGACCAGGGGCCGTACAGTTTCTGTATTAATCTGTGATAGGCTTCTTTCTAGCAGAGTTTTGCCAACATTACATTCTCGCTAACGCTACATAAAGTCGAAGTTGCACATTAATTCAACTGCTTAACCTCAGAATAACAGCTAAACATCTACATGCACACAGAACGCTGCACATTAAAATTTAACAAAAGATCTACAACAGGTAAACCTCCTCACCAGAGAGCCGTAGGCGTCCATGAGCCTTAGACGCTGTTGGTCTGCTGCCTGATAAACCCCACACACTGACAGGTGGCTGTAACGAGCTCATCAGTGTGATTCACTTCACCTGGCAGTGGTCATAACGTCATGCCTGATCGGGGGCGCGCGCGTCGGGGCGAAACTCCCCGTGCGCCATACAGAGAGCAGAGGAGAATTGTAAACGCGCGATCACGTAGAGACAGAAATGACATGACGTTGAATAAGATAAATAACATAAAGCTATTTAGTTTTATTAAAGAACAAGGTATAGACCTGTTCTAGAGGAAAGGTAAATGACTTCTGTTGTGATCTGGTGTTATATAGAAAATAATATTAAATAAATTGACCTTCAAGGGGGGGCTAATATAATGGTAGGGGAAACACTGCAAAACATCTTATGAGATATTCGATATAATGAAATACTGATTAAGCAGGCTATCCATCATGCATCAGTAAATTCAGACTAACCTGACAGCGCCGTGGCAGCCGTCCTCAGATACTCATCCTCATCCTCCTCCTCTCGCTCTCTGCTCCTTTCCCCATGTCCTCGTCCTCCAGGGCTCTCCGGACCTCTACTCAGGTCGTCAAAGACCAGTGTCCTCTAAACATTAGTGAACTTGTTGGGTGTTTAAAACAAGAAGGTGCTAATGTTAATCTAGTCCAGATATACTCGATATGTAACGACACCGTTCCCATAACGCTGGCAGTCAAACTACAGAGCCAACAGGTGACTAGTTACTGTCATGAGAACTTTCCTAGAATCAAGTCTTAATTAACTTCGTTGTTAAAATGGAACATGCTAAAGCAAAACAATAGGCTACCGGAAGGCTAAACACACATGGAACTAATTAGAGGACACACCTGGCTCTCCTTCAGCCTGATAGGCTTCTTTCTAGCAGAGTTTTGCCAACATTACATTCTCGCTAACGCTACATAAAGTCGAAGTTGCACATTAATTCAACTGCTTAACCTCAGAATAACAGCTAAACATCTACATGCACACAGAACGCTGCACATTAAAATTTAACAAAAGATCTACAACAGGTAAACCTCCTCACCAGAGAGCCGTAGGCGTCCATGAGCCTTAGACGCTGTTGGTCTGCTGCCTGATAAACCCCACACACTGACAGGTGGCTGTAACGAGCTCATCAGTGTGATTCACTTCACCTGGCAGTGGTCATAACGTCATGCCTGATCGGGGGCGCGCGCGTCGGGGCGAAACTCCCCGTGCGCCATACAGAGAGCAGAGGAGAATTGTAAACGCGCGATCACGTAGAGACAGAAATGACATGACGTTGAATAAGATAAATAACATAAAGCTATTTAGTTTTATTAAAGAACAAGGTATAGACCTGTTCTAGAGGAAAGGTAAATGACTTCTGTTGTGATCTGATGTTATATAGAAAATAATATAATGGAAAATATAATATATAATCAAATAAAATTTAATGGAAAAAGATATAATGCTCTCCTATTACTCTGATTTGGACTGTAACTGAATCATACATTTCAGTGCCAACATTTTGGAAATTTTTAATGACAAATAATATCCCTCTCTGTTGTGAAAATTAGTAGTCAGTTTCACATATAGAACTTTAAATGACCTACTTTTCAGTTCTCTTCACAAAGATTCCCTCAAATTAAAAGAATCCACATCCACTGCCCAAACTCCTACTTGGCCCTTTCATGTTCTCATCCTTTGAATACAGCGGTCACACTATGCTGTTATCTGAGCACCAACCATCTGTTAAGGACAGACCGCACATTTACAATACTGTAAATCATTACACAATTCATTGTAGATCTGCAGATGTGCTCTGCTGTTTTGTTAAAATAACTCCTGACACCTTCTCAGTTTTGATGTTCTAGCCTCATTTTTACATCGGTGGATACTGTTACAGTGAGTACAAAAAACCATGGCCGCTGACAAAACTAAGAAATAAAATGCACTGTGGCATTCTTCCTTATATAAACTTAAACTTGTCCTGACTTGTTTAAAGGAATGGTTTTTCTAGCTGAAAGTATGCTGAAGCTATAAAGGCTGAAAGAGGAGGAAGATTTGAAGATTCTCTCATTCACTTCCATTATTAAAAAAAAACTTACTCAGCAGCCACACAATTACATAGAAGAGCACATCTAAACAAGCATTAAACCACTTCAGTATCTAGTAGGAAATTATGCATACTTTAATGCCAATATGTTTATTTTCCAATCAAGTAAAACATTTAAGACATATTTAAAAATCCAATCCAAGATTTCACAGAAATAAGAAAAGGCAGTACACTTATATTAGGGCTAAAATAATGAGTGATATGCGCAAAGAAGAACATTTCTCCTCATTCAGAAGCAATCAGTGCTTGGCTCGACAATATACTTCAGAGGCAGAGAGTACAGAAGACTCCCTCTGGCCACGATGTGAAGAGCAAAAACATGAGAAATGTGAGGTTATTAGTCAATACAACGAGGTATCTGCACTTGGGAGTATAGGCCCTTTAGAGGTCCACTGTCCTAGTATGAGCTGATGTGCTATACATAGACACAATATGAATCGGACAGGATACAGTGAAAAAACAAAACAATCCATCAAGTGATCATCCCCTACAATCCGGTGTTTCTCCAGTCGAGGCAAATCACAGAGCAGCTGACAAAGGCAGCAGTTGAGGTATGTGAGCTTCAGTCATCTCCTGAACAGCCACATGAGGGCGCAGTAAGAATGACTGCTGCGGTTTCCCTGCTGGGGATCATGGCATAGGATTTTTGTTAGTAAGGACAATTCAGTCTTTATTACAGTGCTGTGTGCTATTTTCATACAATTCTTGAGTTTTGAATAGTCTTTGGACCAAGTGTGCATGGTTTTATTTTAGCTACTTATGGTCTCTTCAGCATCTGAAAAATGTACACAATTGATATTATTCAAATTTAATGAGCATTAAGTTGGCATCCAGTGAAAACCCTGCATCTCAAAATGTAGATGCTCCTTTAAGATTTGAGAAAAGTTGGTATTCATCTTTATTTCACAGATCTAATAGATTCACTCGTTTTGAGAGGTGCCAAGTTCAGCTCAATTGCTGCTTGACTGCAGCTGATCTTCTCATCTCAGAAAAACACATAACTGTGTCCAAAAATGTCAATCTATTCCTTTAAAACAAGACAGCTTTTCTTAGCATTTAGAGATGCTTGGTTTTCACAGGACAGTGACGAAATCTGCCCAATTTTAAATATACTCCTCTAAAAGTTTCCACAGCTAAACAAGTCAGTTTCTAATCATTTTCTTAATGTGAAGCAAAAGAAAATGACAAAGTGTGAATTCTTTTAAACTCCACAGCTCGCCACCAGTCCTTATTTGATGCAATTGGAGATTAAAACATAGGTTTCCAAATAAATATGACTGTATGAATAAGACTGCACGTGTTTCGGTTTTGATTGAGAACATAAGACAGTTGGGAAAATATTAATTCTATCAATGTGTTATCCTACATGCACCTTTCACAAATGATTTGATTACTACCTTAAATGTAAGGCCAGTCATTTTCCATATTAACAGTATTTTTTTTAACAGTCCCCAATACAGGAGGCTGAAACCAACTATGAATTGCTTCTATTCACTGTTAATTTCTCTGTTCTGTTGTTGGTTTTAGTCTCTGTATGGGGGCTGTTTAAAATACCGGTAATATAGAAAATGCCTGATCTTTTCCATTAAGGAGATTTTTCATTTCCTGGCTGTGTCAAACACTGAACTGGACAATAAATATGAGATCAATGAGTAGTTGCATTGACCGGAAGGAAATGTAAAGCTACTAACAACAATATCACTACATTGTGTTTGTATTTTATTCATAACTGGCATAACTCCATATGTCGGCCCCACTGCAACATACTCTGAACTGTAATGGCGTGTTCACATTGTTGTGGAAAAACGGCTTTTGTGTGCGCTTTGCCATCGTTGTGCGTGTGGAGCGGATGGACGCCTAAATTTCAGATTTGTTAACTTAGAGCCTGGCTGTGCTGACCTTTGTGCGCACAACCAGTCACTGTTGGCCAGTGCTTGAAAAGATGTGAAACTATACTCGCAGAACTCAGGTTACAACACATAGCCATTGGTTCAGAATTTCCCAAACTCTACAATAACATGATTCTCATATGGAAATCAAATAGAGACAACAGTTAGCAAAATACCAGCACCTCTCCTGAGATTGTTTAAAAACCCCAGAGAGTTTCTATAGAACGCGCAGCACAACTCTCGTTTTTCTGCTGTGTGAACACGCCTTAATACTGCAACCATATGCAAAATCTAATCAACCTCATGAGTTAGTTTTTAAGAGAAGTACTAACAGCAATATTCATCTTTATAAACATTTATCAATGCAATGTCACCAGTACAAAATTCCACTGATTTCATGTTAACAATGCCGCTCTAAACTACAAATGTAGAAGGGGCATCATCTCCAAACTACACTGTAAAAATGGCTGACAAGGACATTACCATGGAGCCCAGAGAGAAGGAAACCCATTTGGTAATAGGCTCAGACAGAGATAGGCACTCCTTGTGCGAAGTACAATCCTGTTCTTCTCCAGTTTAAGCCCATCACGTCAAGTGGTTACAGAAACATTTCAGATAAAATGCAAACTTAATAACAGTCCATGTGTTTTCAAAATGTGTTCACACACAAATGTCAGATATTTCATATTTAACATGTCAATACCAAGGGCCACGAACTGAGGTAAACTCACTGGCTCTCTGCAACAAAGTGTTGAGTGTATACTGACAGTATAGCAGTGCTGGCAGAAAAAACGTCACCCTGGATGTGTGAGACAATGCGCCTATTCTGAAGACTCTGGTAAAACCTTCAGAAAGTGTCTTTGATTATTTGTGAGATATATTTGGACTCACAAGTGATGAGCCATTTTAGGGCTGATTCATTAAAAATGCCCCGTGACTCTGGTGCGACAAGTGGCAATTTAATTAAACAACTGCATGGAGGAGGTAGAGGGGGCTGGGAGGAGGTAAGGAGTTTGTGGAGGAACAGCTCCCATGAGGTAGCTTTTGCTGTAAACAAACAAACAAACAAACAAAAAAAAAAAAAGTTTTGCAGCGGTTGAAACCAGTAACTCATCAAATCTGGAAAGGAAGACCAGGGAGCCTGTGGCAACAGTAGGGAACTTCTCACGCAACGCCTCAGTACAACAGAAACCTGCAGTTAATCATACAAGCTCAAAAAATATACAAAAAATGCACAGCTATGTATAACTCAAGAGGTAGTTGCTAATATCAGTACATGAATCGGTTACATTGCTTAAACAGAGTCTGTTGAGTCAGTCAGTGGATGATTCCCAAAAGAATAAAAATCCGCTTTTTTTTTTTTGGTTGAGTCCCTGAGAACAGTTCATCATCCTGAGAGGAGTTGTGTGTAAAAATGTAAAAATACATCATACAAAAAGATGCTTCCATAGAGATTTGAGCATGGGCTGTGCTCCTTCTGCAGTTTGGTCATTCACTTGTTTTTCTGTCATGCTGAATTGTTGAAATCTGATTTTTTTTTTCTTTACGCGCACACACATTCATAAAGCTGTACATTAAAAAAAGGGGGAAAAAAATGCAGTGTTGTGCTTTGAGCAATAAGTCCCTCTTATTCTGAAAGAGTGCGGATAGCAAGCACGTCAGCAACTTTAAATGTCTTCAAAACCAGACTCTTTGGTAAAAAATATACCAAAAAAGTTGGTTGTCTACTTGGAGCTTTTAACCGCACACAAGCTAGTTGGATATCATCATACAAAGTTATCTGATTTGTCACAACATTAATATACTCCGAAGTGACCTGATGTGAACTTTGTGACAAGTCGACTTCAGATAAGCTCTTTTCACATTCAATATGGTCAGAGAAGAGTTAAGTCACAAATAAGTGCCACTAAAGCCATGCTTGGGATTCAAATTGTGCCAAAAGCACAGCACACAGCAGTCTCTCTCTCTCTCTCTAGTGAGTGTGAAGTCGCAGCAGCAGTCACGGCGTCTCATCTTGAAGAGCAGTGAGCATTACCTGGCTGGCGCTAACTAACAAAGGTAGGCACAGATGGAGGAGGAACAGGTGGTGCGATCTTACTGGGAGAGCTACCAGCTTGACGTTCTGTGACATTCATTTCCAAGAGGAAAAGCTGGTGAGGTATTAAGTAAGTAGAGCAGCTGTAATGTTACGGTTATAGTCTGATACTACACCTGTAATAAAAGGCTTTATGCTGTGTCAGAGCTGTCTGCAGACTATCTGAACTAATGGAGTAAGATCTTTTAAAAACTTTTTTTTTTTTTAAAGGTCAGTTTGATTTGTTGGGAATTAAAAAGATTACATAGAGAGAGAGCGTGACAAGTTTTCACACAACAAAGTATCCCATACAATATACAGGGCTATCCACCTATGTCAGAGCTAATTCCTTATATATGCATTACTTAAACTTAATAGAATTTTAATTATATCTTGTGACTTTACATGTATATATATATATTAACGACTTTTACTTTGATTTATAAACTGTTATTTTCAGCTAATTATGCAACAACCAAACTGGAAATCATTACCTTGAATCTAAATCTAGCTGGATGACGAGACGTCTTCTCTAAGGGGTGTCTGTCCATCGTGGTAGGAAACTGGAAGGCGAACAGAGCTGACCTGCACCTGAAGAAGAGGCGCTCCAATCGGACAGCTGTTTTCGGAGCATGCACGACACACACAAGCAAGCACACGTTTTCTTGTTCTGTCTCTCTCAGCTGAGTATGTTCATGAACAAACATACACACTCACTCTGACAACAGTCGGTCCAGTCTATTTCAGGTAAGAGAGATGTATGTAATGTATGGAGATAAAATACTATCAAAAATGTTACAAATGTGTGTTTAACGTTTTGTCTGTAACAAGAGATTTGTGTGTGTGTGTGTGTGTGTGTGTGTGTCATGCTGTTCACAAATGCATGCTGTACAAACTGCACATAAAACACATTTTCCAAATGCTTAAAATTGATTTTTCCTGTGCAGTTCTTTAGAAAGTACGTACACATTGTTACCTACGCATGCGTGGATCGTCTAACACACACAAATCACCTTCCGCGCACACACGGATTTTTGAGAGTCTTTTCCCGCACGCTCAAAAATCCACGATCCACGAATGCACGGTGCGTTTAAGGACACGTGGAAAACTCAGACATCTGAGTTTCCAAACCTGTTTACCAAACAAAAGTATTTACACAATGCTATTCCAAATGGACATTACATAAAATAAACAAAAATATCTAATACATAACACGTTTTAACAGAGAACATTCCAGTTGCCTGCAGTTTGTGGTGCATGTTCTAAATTTTTATATATTTAGAATTTAGAAGTTATGAAGCTAAAGTTAATGTTCCGCCCTGCGGAGTCTATAGTTTTTCAGTAGGGCATATTTTAGTGATGCACATATTCCTCCCGACGGAGTTTGTTGTTGTTTTTCAGTGGGACATGTTTTAGTGATACACACCGCCAGTAAGTTTAGCATGAAAACAGTCACAGGTTGTCTCTCCTTCGAATCTATGTATCGAACCATCCACTTATCTAGCATAGCACGACAAACCGTGGAGCATATATTTAATATCCACATGTCCATAAACGCACCGTGCATTCGTGGATCGTGGCCTTTTGAGAGTGCGGAAAAACACTCTCAAAAATCCGTGTGTGCGCAGAAGGTGATTCGTGTGTGTTAGACGATCCACGCATGCGTAGGTAGCAATGTGTACGTACTTTCTAAAGAACTGCACACACAAAAAAATGGATTTTAAGCATTTGTAAAATGTGATTTATGTGCAGTTTGTACAGCATGCATTTGTGAACAGCATGACACACACACACAAATGGCTTTATACGTGCAGATTGCGCAGCACGCATTTGTGATCCTCATGACACACACACACAAATAGCTTGTTACAGACAAAACGTTAAACACGCATTTGTAACATTTTTGATAGTATTTTATGAACATTTCAAGATTACAGGTAATCTATTTTAGCAGCTCGCTGTCTTTTCAAAAAATATCCACTGGAATCTGTTCGGATTCCCTAAAGATCTTTAGAAGCCAAGCTGACAGTCCTATAGGTCTGGGTTATCGCTTAGCTTTTAAAAGTCTTCTGATCCTTCTTAAAATGAGCTACTGTGTGTGCTAAAAATATGCATAATGATTTTTTTTTTTCAAAATGATGAGGCCTACTGAATATAAATTTGTGGTTTTAAATGGATAAAATCTGTAAGGGGGGTAGCACTCAGAGTGGCAAAAATTTAGGTCCAAGGAGGACCAAAAAACTTAAATCAAATCAAGATTGATGCCATGCTGTTTCATTCTTGAGATGCACTGATTGAAACAAGAAAAACATTCATTCCCTGCAGTCACCATTCCAGCGGCGGTTGCCATAGCTGCACCAGATGACTGCAAGTCAGTCAGTCACACATTCACACACACGTCTGTACCCCGTTGATCGTTGCCATAGCTGCACTGGTTAGAAAAAAAAATGTGAAGAAATTAAGACCTCCCATTTTTTTCACAGGTGTGAGGTAGATGTGGGGGGTTGATTCAGGTATCCTTGATTGAGGGGGAGACATCGGGATTGGGGGTCAGCAGTGATACGTTCACCTCTGTGGGTTATTTTCAGAATTTCCTCCACCTCTGGGTCCGCGGGCCGCGGTGTGTGTGGGGCTCCTCGGGTGAGCAGCCCTCCAGGGGGGATGAGCCGGAGCGCCCCACCTCCTCCTCTGGGGGACAGAGGTACGACTCAGTCCCTGGGCCGGAGGCCGAGGTAGACGCATGTTGGTCCTGAGAGCCTGTGGCGGGCACCAGCGCCTTGTGGGGACACTGAGCCACCATGTGCATGATGCTCTGGCAGTAGTGGCACTTCTTTGGCTGGGGGGGCAGGCCACACTCCTTGGCATGGTGATCCAGACCTCCACAGTTATAACAGCTACAGAGGATGAAGGAGACAGAAAACAAATAAAACAAGGTTGGGGCTGAAATACCTGCTCTAACATGGATTCACCACTAGATGGGAGTATGAGACAATCTTGCTCTGGATCAAAAACGTATGGCCCTCGGTGGCAGGATAAACTGCACTACTGTATGCAATAAATTTGAAATGAGGCAGCAAAGAAAAAAACAAAACAAAAATAGACACTGAAGGCAAAGGCTCAAGATTTCAGCCAGTCAAGATGCCTTCACTTGTTGTGCACTACATCAAATCAAATGGATATTTCTAAGCTGTTTTACATTGCCACTGGTTATATTGTGTCTATTATTACTAGTCTGCTGTTTAGTACGTAATATCTCCTAGGCAGTTAAATCTAGAACAGGTCCACTGTTTCATGAGGATTCCTCCTAACATCACTGTGTGTCATGTTCACTTTCATTTAAATGGCCAAACAATCTTGTGTGTTTGCACAGCAGCCAAAAGCAGCAGCATGAAACAGTAGTTCACTATATTTTCAGATGCATCCATTTTAATAGCAAATTAACAAAATGCGCAAGGACACAATAAACCAGGGTGTCAGTAAATTACTGCCACAATACGTGAAAACCAATTGTGACAGGGCTTGATTAAAGAAAAATCAGTTTGTCTTCGCTGGTTCCAAACAAGGCCTGAAATATTTCCAGGGAGCACATAACGTGGCAATACTTTCCAATCAATTAAAAAAAATAACAAATCCACAGAGTTTGACTTAATTATGTGGATTTGAGTCTCATCTTCAAAATCCAAAATGAGCAGGCGTTTTGCTGAACTTAGAGAGAGCACATCCAAAATGAGGAGGGTTGTTTCCAGAGGAGACAATTTTCTGTGAGAGCAACAAACAACAACAACTCTGGAAAACTGTACCTGAAATAATGGGCTGCACATCATATAGCACTTTTAAAACTAAACTTCAAATACGGTTAAAATCCATTCCATGTGATGATACTTTGATTGATTTACTTCTTGGTTTAATGTCGTTTTGATTGAGCTGTTACATTCAAATGTTTTTAGTAGTAGTAATTTTTAGATGTCATTTTTAATTCCGTTGAGACTACGGGTGCTGTTGGACTAACCCCGGCACATTTACACTGATGTTGTTAATGTCAGTGTTGATTAATTTGCCTTATCCCATAGAAATAAACTAAAACATAGAAATAAATATAATGGGCCCACATTCATTTTTCCACACAAACTAATATACATTTTAGGTCTGTTTTCGGTAAGACCTTTGCTTTAATATAACCCTGTGAAATCTAGTGTATCGGGTTATACATAAAGGAAGGTTTTAAGATGCTATTAAACAAGTATCCTCACCCATTCATATCGTAAAATATATTTGATACTTTACTGATCTTTACATTTATTTTTGGTGGATTTCAAAAAGCTACAACAAAACAGACAATGATATTTCCATATTTTATTTTAAATCCACAGGTAGCAATAATCTATTTTTCAATTAAGAGGAAAATGTTTATTATATTACATTTTAAAAAGTCCAATTAAATTCTAAATTCTTACACAGTACAGATCATTTAGTGTCCAAGAATAAGAAAAATAGATTATTACCAGCTAATTTGATTTCAAGTTTAAATGTCACAAATTACAGAAGATTTTTTACAAATCTTTAGACTTATTCACTTTGGCATTTTATACTAATTACAGCTCTGACAGATTTTATTAACAGTGATTTTTCATATTCTTTTCTTATTGTGGTTTTATTTTACCGACTTAATGTGAAACACTTTAGTCAATGTTGGTGTTTAAGGTGCTATATAAATACATTTCTGATTGGTTGAAAATAAATGCAGAAATGTAATTAAATCTAAATTTTCTTAGCAGCAAGACAATAAAAACTCAAAGGCAATTCTTCATGCAATTTTGCTTTTTAATATAGTGCAATAAGTTGCCATCTTTTGTAATCTATTAAGATTCAATCTGTAAAACCATTTTATAAAGATAACAGTCTTGGAAAACTTGTATTTATGGTTGTGTACAAAACACATGACTAATTGATTAACTAATTTATATAAAAGAACTGATGAATGGCTGAAAACATTTTGGGAATTGTGCAGGGGTATGCAGCACCTACATGTTTGCAAAGTACTTCAGATGAATATCTAATTCTGAAAATTCTGCACCATTTGTTGACCATTCTTTGCCAATAAAGACCCTGCTCATTTGCATTATAAATGTCTACTACCATAAGAGATTCATTTTTCTACACTTACTCTTACACGGACCTCATTGGAGCACTGTGATCTCAGGAGGACTTCTGAATAGCTGTCACACAGTGACCAGCAGGGGTCAGACCAGAGTAAATGTCACAGGAGCCGCTCAGGCCTCACAAAGACGCGTGACATCACAGAGATCTACCTGACATCTCTGAATCCAACACCGCCCTGCTACCACCTTAGAAGAAGCAGGGACACTTAACCTAACACTGGATCAATTATCCCAAATAAACTGAATTATTCAGCCGTGTAAAACAATCAGGGAGCCTTCTCACCCAGATAGTGTTTCCTCCGTTCAAACAAAAAGCTTTTCTTTTCACACCTTAAAAACACTGGCACTGAAGCAGCTGTGCTGCAGCAACAAAACAGCGGCAGAGCTGGACATTTGAATGTAGATGTAGTCTTGGCCTCCTACAAACAGATACAGCACAAACTCAGCTCTGCCTGGCAGCGTTCGCTATACATCAAATGACGGCACCGTGTCGGCACGAGGACAGGGAGCACAGTCTGCTCTGCTTAAACCACCAGGCATTTCTAAGGAGCTCCATATGGCTTGCTCTGACAGATTGTAGCAAAGCACCCTTCAGGAAATTACTGAGGACAAAGCAACTGATGGAACTACTGCTGCATTGAGATTCATATAAACCCAAGCCACCCCTATACCAACGCCATCTCTAATGTAAAAGCTGGCAAATTGATTTAAAATAGTGGCTATGGCAGGCAAAGTGCCCTATTGAATTCCTTATTATGGTGTGCAATAACCATAGCAACAAGCATGCAGATTGAATAGATTTAATCTATAATCTCAGCCCACTCAGAAATAGCTCGCTGCAGTGAGGTATACATACAACATATGTCTCCATATAGCACAGCCTTGCCCACAGGTTTTGTTAGATGAAGCCAAGACTGGTGAGATGCATGCATATGGATTATTACATCCCTGCAGACCTACAGTAGAACACATAAAAATCATCCCTTTTTTCTGGTTGTACTAACTCAGTCTGATCACACTCACCGGTCTCCCTTTGGTTTGCGTTTCTGGAGTGGAACCTTCCCTTTGGGTCTCCTTTCGCTGCCTGCGCAGGGTCCCCCACCAGGTCCGGTCACCCGCAGAGACTCCAGGCCCTTCGAGGACTTCTTATAAGTGAACTCCACCTGCTCGCCCTCCTTTAAGCTGCGGAAGCCCTCCATCACCAATTTGCTCTGTAGGGAGAAAAAAAAAAAAAAAAAGGCAACTATCCTCCCAATGTAGCAGCGTCTTTGAAAATAAAAATGTATCCCTACAATACACAAGGGGCTGATGCACATGTTGTCATATGCTAAAAGTCTGATGTCAGGCAGTGCTCGTGTTTCTTGAAATTTCCCCAATTTCAGTATGAAAGCACAAAGTCACACCTGTTTCTCTGGGGTTGATTAATGAGAAGTTACATCTATAGATCTATAATAATAGGGTACATATATATGACATTTTCAATGCAATGCAGCAGTAAGAGAATCTATACCTGAAACATTTGAATTCTTTTAGACATCCACCTCCTTGAATAATGTCAATCATTTGGGAACCCATTAAACGCTATTTCAATATGTCATTTTTAAAGGCTTTAAATACAGTAGTATGTAAATGTATTTTACCTTGACTGGTACTTTTAATCTCAAGTGGTTCACTAAACCCACTGTATACTTTATACATGAATAGTGTTCAGCAAGCGAGTGAAAGGTAAAGAGAGCCTCTGCCTCGAGTACAAAAGGTGGGTTCTCAATTAAAAGGCTCATTTTAATGCTTTAGTTGTACTTTCGGTCTGAACAGCATAAAGCTCAGTATTAATGCTGTAGGTTGACATCCATCAGAGTGAATTTAACTCAAATATCATCTGAGGTTTGATCAGGTGTGTGTGTGTGTGAACAAGGAACTGTCCAATCAACGCTTTTCATCTCCTGTCAGAGAAGAGTCGGCACTTATTAACACCAAGTTTACTGTGGGGACTGCTGTGTGTGGCAAACATCCAGTGGCACACAATAAATCATTTCAAGCGTGGTGAACTGGCTGGATATGGGTTGCACCTACAATGCCATGAGAGCACAGTGCGTCCTTGCTATACTGCCTTCATCTACTTTTTACACCGTTTCCCATTTAGTCTGCAGGGAGAAAAGACAAGAGTGTCGCACCCAGTGCAACGATTTCCCCTCAGCACATCCACCATCCATCTTATCTGCATGATTGGATTATTGATTTGGTTACTACATAACCACTGGAAAATAATGTACGTCTTTTTGATCACACGGAACAAATGGCTGATAGATGCCGTATAGATGACCTTCATGAATCACGGCGAGCCCTGTGGATCTTGGCATAGGTAAACACACACCCACGTGAGCATGCAGTGTGCAGAGCAAACCTACTACCTGATATATACATCAAAGCCTAAAAATAACACGCAGGCTATCTGTAAATGCGGCGCCTGCAGCAGAGACAGATGTGTAGGAGACAGAGGAAGAGGAGGGAACAAATGACGAGAGGGAATCAAATGTGAAACTACTGAGGAAGTAGAGAAAATGTGCTCAGCGGCATTTTTCTCCTCTAGTTTTCAAGAAGCTGAAGGAGGTTGGTTTGTAGATATAAATGAATATGTAAAATTTTAAATCAAAGACCTTTATTTTCTAAATTGATTTTATTGGGGGAATAATTAAAAAAGGAATAAAACAAAGTGTAACCAAAATAAATAAATTGTCTGCATCTATTTGTACACCTTTTAAAATTCGGTCTGATTGGCAGCGTCACAACTATGAGCACGTTTTCTTCACCGCACTCTCAATGCTAAATTATTCCAACGTCTTTCCAAGTCTAATGACAATTATAAATCAAATTCTACTCGGAGTTTCACGGTGTAAAACAGGCTTTTCAAATGCTCAAAAACTAAAAATGCTGAATGAAATGTACAGAGTTGATCAAAAAAAATCCCTTAAACCTGAAAAACACTCCTACAAAGATGGACATGCATTTGTCTTTTTTAAATTTTATATGTATGTATATATACACATTTATGTTACAGTAAGTAAATATTAAAAGAAACAAAAGTGTCAAATTCATTTCACTCCACAAAATTTAACAAACTGCTTAGAAACTGTTCTTCCACCTTATTTCCAGACTTTTACATTCTCACTATTTATAACAAAGGAAAAGTCACTGGTGTGGAAATATTCAGTACAAACATTCGTTCATTTCATTCTGCCTCAGACGTCCGCTCCCTTCTCTCCGTGCCGTTACAGAGGATTACAGCCAGGGCTGCTCTCCGCTTGTCGATCGCCGATCAGTGGTACATTTCAGCACTCGGGTATTAGACTTAGCTTTGAGTAGATGAGGATCAAAAACTGGTAAAAGCTCATTTTTTGCACAGCGGATGTACAAGGGGAATAAAGCACGAGGGACAATGACACGAGTCACAACCTGAGCTTGTAGCTTTAGTGCTGTGGCAACAACCAACTAAAATTCAATTAGTAATTTATTAATGTATCGAACAAATTTGCTAGGACTGTATTTTTTATTAATAACACACTAAGGATCCTGAAGCAGCCTGAACCTTGCATATTCAAATTAAAGCACCAATTGATTTTGTGATTATT